AGCATCTGACGTGTCTAAAGCAGTTTCGCTCCAGTGGTGGATTTTTACTATTATTTAAAGTACAGTAAGGTAAGCTTGTATTTTCTCAAGATTTTCTTCAAACTCCATCAACTGACAACGGAATTATTTCTACACACGCCATATTTTTAATCCCACATTTCCCCCCCCTCCACGCTCCGCTTGTGTCTGTGTTTTTTAATCCAGATACGTGTTGGCAAGATGCTCGATTTCTTTACCATCTTCAGCAAAGGGGGCATAGTGTTGTGGTGTTTTCAGGGAGCCGGCGTCACCGAGTCCTTCGCCGGGCCTGTCAACGCTCTGATCCGCTCCGTGATCCTTCAGGTGAGCCTTGACGCCGCGACGAAACTGTCCAGAAAATTCTCTTCTGCATGCGCAATCTCAGTTAGCTTTCGAGCTAATGCTAAAAGGGTCGCGTATGTTGTAAGTGAGCGACCTTTAGTTTAACCGGTCAACAACTTAACAAGAGGTTACAGTCTGGTAACGTGTTGTTGTGGTTGTTGTTTTTTTAGAATTGTTCTAATTGAGGAAAAAAAAATTCAACAAGTCAGGTTTTGTTGGCGAATAAACAATTGAGTAAATATAACAGATTCCACCGTTAGTCTAGTTTTCATGCTGTAGTCTGTGTTGTCTGTAGGCGATAGTCAGGTATAGAACAAACAGCATCAAACGTGGACGTGTTTTCCTTTCACTTTGTTTTATTGGATGTTAACGCTAGTGATATTTGTTTACAGTTTATTGTAGTGTGAAAGTGATGGTTCTGTTTGTCAACAAACCTGACGGAATTAGTAATAAATAAGTTTAATTCTAACGTAGGATTTGAGTAAAATTACTCACTTACAAATGCATAAAGTACTTGGTAATCCATTAAAAAAACATTCTTCCAGGTTTAAATGCACAGTTTCTAGCAAACTCTTGACACATTTTTATGTCGTGTTTACCTCCTCTGTGTGTGTCTGTTTTTCAGGAAAGAAGCGGGAACACGTCGTTCAATCATGAGGCTCTGAGTCTTAAATACAAACTGGACAATGAGTTTGAGCTCATTTTTGTGGCAAGTCATTTTTTAAAACTGCTATCCTTTGAAGGCTGCTTCGTAAACTGTAATGTAATTGATGTGTCAGTTCAAAACCTTAGTTCATTATGAACTTCATTATGATTGTTTAATTACCACCTAACTAACCAACAAAGGTTGGTAAAATGATTGTTTAATTACCACCTAACTAACTACCACCTAACTACCAACCATTTTCTGGCAGTCATAATAGAAAATAATGTTTTAAACAAGTGATTTGTATTCATGTTGTGTTATTCTTATACATCAGGTGGGTTTTCAAAAGATCCTGACGCTGACATACGTGGACAAGTTCATAGATGATGTGCAGCTTCATTTCAGGGATCGTTATAAGAACGAGCTGGAGCAGAGGGGAGCTTTAAAACTGCTCAACAACAGCTACGAGTTTGAAGACGACTTCAATATGCTTCTCAGGTAAAGACAGTTTCTCGAGGTAATATTTCCATTTCATCAAATCTGAACCTCAAAATTCAGTGGATGAATCAGGCATTTCCACCTGGAGACAGTATAGACCAACGTGCCTCACGCGTCCAAATGTTTCTGCTCCCGAACACGCTGATTTATTTAAGTTGTTTACCTCAAGACAGGCGGAGGAGAGCAGCAAAGCTCGGAGCCCCGTCCCTATGCGGTCCTTTAAAGAGTCTGAGAAATCCCAAAAAACTGTGAAGTCCATGATTGAGACGAAGGGTGGGGACAAAGGCAAGGAACCGGGGGGCAAGAAAAATAAAAATACCAAAAAGGAGGGTATGTACAAGCCTGCTGTTTTTACCCCTGAAATTGACATTTTAAATGGATTGTTGGTTTATTTCTCACCAGACACTTTTGTCTTTTCCAGCTCCTGCAGCTGAGCCTGTCAAAGGTGATCAGAAAAAGGTCACACCTGCTGTGCAGAAGACGGTTGAAAATGGTAACCAGGGTTTGACTCCCGAGGAGCTCATTCTGAAGAATAGAGAGGAGTTCATTCGCAAACGAATGGGAGGGACGACTGAAAAGGCCAGGTTAGAGCAAAGATGTGGATAAAAAGAAATCCATGGATATAAATCTGCTGGAAAAACAGGTTAGAGCAAAGATGTGGATAAAAAAAAAATCCATGGAATTAAATCTGACAAACGACACATTAAATTAGACACTGAGTCACGGGCTTCAGTTCAGAAGGTTCCTCTCTCTTTCTGCAGTAAGTCTCCAAAGCCTCAGAAACCCAGGGAGAAACAGATGCGTGTCTGGGACATGGGAGGAAACAGTACCAAGGAACTGGACTACAGCTACAAGAACGATCTCCAGAGCAACGGGGAGCAGATGGAGGAGGTCAACACCGACCTGGTACGGAACCTCCCTCAGCTGGAAATGACGTCTGAGTCTGTGACAAAGATCAGGTCCAAAAATGAAATCTCACTGTGGTGGATTTGTTTTAAGGGAATAAAGGTGAACTCCATGGAAGGAGATCTGCTGCCTGTGGACTACGAGTCCAGTGAGGAGGAGGAGGAGATGGAGGAGGAAGAAGAGGAGGAGAGAGTGGTTGTAAATGAAAAAAGCAAAACAAGGTATGATGTTTCCTCCAGGAGGTCTCTGAGATGTAGAAATTCAAACTATACTGTTTTTAAATCTTCAGTCAATTCTTACAAAACCATCAAAAATTCCACGCTTCTTTTTTTTCGTTCTTTGTAGCACTAAAAAAGGTGGCAGCTTCGGGGGCATGTTTGGGATGCTGAAGGGCCTGGTGGGCTCCAAGAGTCTGACCTTTGAGGACATGGAGCCGGTGCTGGACAAGATGAAGGACCACCTCATCGGTATGGTATCAGTGTTTACATCTTCACCGTTGTCGTTCACCAGGAAATGATCCGTTATTTTCATCCCCTCTCCTCCTCTGTAGCTAAGAATGTAGCAGCCGAAATCGCCTCCCAGCTCTGTGACTCTGTAGCCAAAAAACTGGAGGGCAAAGTCATGGGCACATTCACCAGTAAGTTGATTTACGATATTGGCGTTAATTCATCTCCGTCTCCCGGTGGTGACGACGAGTGTGTCTGGTGTTTGTCTCCTGCAGCTGTGGCCTCAACAGTGAAGCAGGCCCTGCAGGAGTCGCTGGTGCAGATCCTGCAGCCAAAGCGACGGGTGGATATTCTGAGGGACGTCATGGAGGCGCAGCGCCTCCAGAGGCCTTTTGTCATCACGTTCTGTGGCGTCAACGGTGTTGGGAAGTCCACCAACCTGGCCAAGGTGAGGTGTTTATGTGCTGTGTGTCTTCAACAGGAATGAAAGTTGAACAATATTCAACCACAATCTCTGTTTACATCACTAGATGGCGCTAAAGTCAACACAGTACGAGCATGTACTTCCAACTAGGGATGTTCGATAATATAGATCGGCGATATTAGCATAATTATGTAATATCTGTGGGAATCGTTGTCATATTAGCATAGTTATGTAATATCTGTGGGAATCGTTGTTGATTTTTCCTCCAATAATGAAATGTGCATATTTGTTTCTGTAATTCAAAATAATTTAGACTTCACATAACGTTGACATCAAGACTTGTTTTGAGTTTACTTAAGATTTTCTTCTAATGATGAACAATTTTTTTTTTTTAACATTCCGTTTTGGGCCAGATCTCCTTCTGGCTGATCGAGAACGGTTTCAGAGTGCTGATCGCAGCCTGTGACACGTTCCGTGCGGGGGCGGTGGAGCAGCTCCGCACTCATCAGCGCCGCCTGAACTCCCTCCACCCTCCGGAGCAGCACGGAGGACGGTCCGCAGTCCAGCTCTATGAGAAGGGCTACGGGAAGGATGCAGCTGGGATTGCGATGGAGGCCATTAATTATGGTACATTTTCCTCTAAATAACTGTTTAATGTCAGTCCTGTGGTGAAGGCAGAGTTCATTTTTTAAAATCTAATCTCCACAGCTCGCAACCAGGCCTTTGACGTGGTGCTGGTGGACACAGCTGGGCGGATGCAGGACAATGCCCCCCTGATGACCGCCCTGGCCAAACTCATCGCTGTCAACATGCCCGACCTGGTGCTGTTTGTTGGGGAGGCTCTGGTGGGCAACGAGGCGGTCGACCAGTTGGTAAGACAAAAGAAAAACACTTTCAAATCATCAGAGAAAATATTGAAATTGAACGCCCACTCAAGTTCAAATGGGCTTAAGTACACACATTTTCCCAGCAGAGGTCAGCATAACTCAGCTTGTTTTTATGTATGGATTTGTCATGTTGGTAGGTGACCTCCCTCCCCCCTCCGACTCTCCACTAACCCCCTCTAATCTCTTCAGCCTTTTTCCAACAGATGAATAGAAACCTGACATTTTAAATATTAATGTCGTTCCGTTCAGTTTTCCTCCCAGTGACTCACGTCTCCCTTCCTGTGTCACCGCAGGTCAAGTTTAATCAGGCTCTGGCCGATCACTCCATGTCTGACAAACCTCGGCTCATCGACGGAATTGTTCTCACGAAGTTTGACACGATTGACGACAAGGTAATTAAACACGGCTCCTCGCCTCTGCTCAGCTCGGTTTATCAATAAACAACGTCTACAGACCATAACACCTCGTAAGGTTTAAGTGCTAAACTTAAATGGATGGGAACAGCAGGGGTGAGGGAACAGCAGGGGTGAGGGGACAGCTGGGGTGAGACTCCAGCGGGCAGGGGTGAGGGGACAGCAGGGGTGAGACTCCAGCGGGGGCTCTGATGCCCCACCGACGCCGCCACCTAAAAAAAACCAATGAATTATAAATAGTCAGTAGTTCTGAAAGCTGACGGCTCTTTTCCTCCACAGGTGGGTGCTGCAATCTCCATGACGTACATCACGGGTCAGCCCATCGTGTTCGTGGGCACGGGGCAGACCTACAACGACCTGCGCAGCCTGAATGCCCGAGCGGTGGTCAGCGCTCTGATGAAGGCTTAAAAGTTCCGCTGCGTCCTGCGTCCTCGTCGCCAACAAAGCAAACACCTTCTGTCAGACTGTAGTGAGACGTACCAGCCCTGCTTCTCTGCCTCCCCGTCCTCCCGTCCCCACTGCTCGGCATCAGATGAAGAACTCGTGACATGCAAAGACAGGACTTTTTTTCTCCCCTCATGAAAAAGAAGGCGTGCACTTGGAAAACACGATCATTCGGCAGCAGAGTGAGAGGAGCTTCCTCCATTCTGCATTATTTCGATTGTTTCGGGCCAAACTGATCAGAAGTACCTCAATGTCAGCCTGTGTTTTTGGAGACGAGGAAGTCCCCACGGCACACTGGCTGACTGAACTAGGCTGGTTAACTGGTTTACACGGTAAAGACCCGCCCATTCCTGGCATTCTGTCCGTCAGTTTTCCCTCATTTTCGGGAGTGAGGTCGGGTGAACGATGAGGAAAGCTTTGTGACCATAGTGCCTATCTGTCTCCTGTCTTCTTCTAACACTTCTTCTACTACACTGTCCATCAAGAGACCACATGGACATTCAGATCCACAACCAAACCTTCAGTGACTTCCAGCCTGGCCGAGACTTAAATCCTACCATTTTGTATGGGGGAAAAAACAAACAATAAATAATCCTATTTATTTTTCATTTCAGAATAAGTCCCAGATTTTTTTTTTTACGTTCCTTGTTTTTCCCCCCTCAATTCATTATTCTCCATTTGATATGGAATAATAAAAAAAAACATCTTTGGTTTGTGGTAGTGCAAGACTCCAGAGTTCTATCAGATCCGAGTTAATTTATGAGAATGTAAACATTTCTAAATAAAGCTGCTGTATGCTCTGACCGCCTGCATTTGGAACTTCATTATGTCCATATGAGTGAAAGCACACAGGACTAATGGAATACCAAAAGCTTTATTTTGAAAATTCCATTTAAATACTACACCGGACACGCATGCACATATTAAAAATAAAAAAAAGTTACATTTTCAACTGTGATCACACCTTTGGCAAAGCGACTGCTACAGACAAATACAAAAATACGCGTTAATATTTTTGGTATAAAGCGTTATCACTGAGGTTTCACCAAAAATAACCAAGGATTATTTCCTTGAATTTAAGTCTTGACACATGTTAAGACATTACAAATTACAATTCACACTATGAGGTTCTCATCACTGGCCCATTTCATCAATACACAAGAAATATCCATAAATAGGGATGTATCGATGCATCGTGAATCGGTAAAAAAAAATCGATACAAATCCGTTAGAATTCGCATCAGTTGAAATAAAAATATTAATCGCGCGTCAAGGTATAAAGTCAGTGATCACACCATGACACTACACACTCTAGTACAGTAGGTGGCGGTATGCACCTAAAAACGTCGGTCGTGATTAAACCATGACGTCAGGTCCCTACGCAGACTTAGTGACAGCATATTTATATGTTTCAGTTAGTCATGTATTTTCAACAGTTCTTACAAATGCAGGAAATGATGGAGCTCATTTTGTTTAAAAAAATAATAATTGTGATAAAACCGTATGGTGAGTGGATCGTATCGTTACATCCCTATTCATAACCAAACGTTGTGGTCGGTTTTGTGCGGATTAATGATGATGTTCAAAGTATCCTCATCTTTCCCTTTATATAAAAACACAGTTTTACACAGCTGTAACAGCTGACAGGTCCCCAAGCCCATTGTTGTCTGAGATTCCTGAACAAAACCAAAACTGAATGTTATTTAAAAAACAAACAAAAAAAATCACCCATCTCTTGACGAAGCTGCAGAAGAAAAGGGCTGAAACGATGCCCGAGTTTGTCTGTCAGGAATCATAGTCTGGGGCAAAAAGAGAGGGAAGGGATTTGAGTGAGTAGTTGATTGAGAGAATGTTAAATTAGTCTTTAAATTAGAGTGATCTTCATGCATGAACTACTGCACAACCCTCTGTACGACCCTAACACTGCAGGTCTTTCTGGTGCTGAACGTTAGGGAGAGTCTCAGATCTTTCTAGCTACCAGCATGCAGTCGGCTGTGAAGGTCACAACAGAAAAGTGTCACTGTCTGACGTCAAAGACAAGCATTCAGTCCTAACCTTGGAGGAGGCTCGTCTGTGTGTTTAATCCTTTCACCTGCTCCTCCCCGTTCTGCGGTGGAGACCCTGGAAACAGAAAAAAAAATACATTTAAAGCAGAACAAGTCTAGATGTACCAGAAAGATCGATGCAGTGAATTACTGAAAAATCACAGAGAGACAAAATCACTTTTGGCTGGGTTTGCAACTTATACTCAGGTGCGACATATATATCAAAATATATAATTTCACATGTATTATTATTTTCCCACTGACAGCCACTGGAGGGCACTCTAGGCTTGTGTACCAGTATCTGCTACTCCTGTACCACTGAACATTTACATGATCGTTATTTTTCACATTGACAGCCACTGGAGGGCACTCTAGCTGTCTGCTGCGAACTTATACTCCAGAGAGACTGATGATGATGATGATGATGATGATGATGTCACATTTGTCTCCAGAGTATTTCTATTTCCAGGAACTTTAAGTAGCTGCGCAGTATTTATAGTGTCTCTGGGTCAGTGTTTCCTCTCCAGAGAACGGTAACAGATACTATGAATGTATGAAGAGCAGTCATAGTATCACAGTACCTCCCTAGAGGAAACAGATACTACAAGTCATTGTGACGTGTCAGGTGTGGTACTTCATCACACTTAGCGCGGAGACTTTGAAGCTAAAACAAACTGTGATCCTGCCAGGACTTTTTTTTTTAATAACAACAGCATCAGCAGGTCAGTTGGACTAACTTCACCTCAGTTCCCTGTTGAAGTGAGCTTAGTTTTGGCAGTAGCTTGTTAACCTCCCATGACATCAAAACTGTCCATAACACATTTAAAAACATGACTTTTAAGACGATAACAGTGATCAAAATGAAGCCGACTTCAGTAGAGACATCCGATGATAAACCCACTCTAGGCTGTTTGTTCTTTAGGCTACAGTAACAGTGACGCAATACAACATGAATAACAACAGCTGTGTGACGACCTCTGACCCTTCTTACCCCAGCCGTTGGTAGCTACGTCGCGGTTGCAGATCTCGTTCGCCAGTCTCTCGAAGTACTCCGGCAGGTCGGCGTACTCGTCTCCATAAGATATGACTTTGATGCCCTTGTCCAGCATGTTGTCCCGCAGCTTCTTGAATTCACCCACATTCTCGCGCCGCACCAGCATGAAGTGCTCCAGGTCCGACTTGTGTTTGACCGCCTCCAAGAACAACGCCTGGAAGGTCGTGTCGTCGACCGTCCGTCCGCAGCCGAGGAACACGAACGATTTGGTCTCGTACAGTTTCTGGATCTCACACTGTTGACGGCAACCAGATCATTCAGACGATGGGACATCACGGGTGGACCACCTTTATTTTTTTTTCTTTTGGCAGTGGGTGGTGTGTCCTATTAAAACACTGAAGTACTCATAAAAGGACAAAGACAGGACCACACCAAGACAGACCTCAGTGGAACCTTAGAACTCACCATGACCTCTGTGTTCCGCAGTACATTCTGATAGCCAGCAGGGTGCAGTACGATGCCACTGGGGTTTGTGTAAACACCGTGGATATGGAGAACACTTAAAGGTCTCTTTTCCTGGGCCCACTCTAACACCTACACACACACAGACACACACACTTTAACGACCCGTGGCACTCAAACCAGTTCTTACTGGGCTGAGTGTAAGATCAGTAAACAGTGGTGATGGGAAACCAGGCCTGAAAAGGACCAGGCATAAATACCAGGAGTGAGAGGCACCGTGACACGGAGACGCTCCCTGGAAAACGGAACTCACTCTCCTGAAAACTCTCATCTTTAACTAAGAATCCAAATGACATTAACACGGTGGGAGTGACGTGAGCAGCATTTGACGTCTTTACCTTTGACAGAGGAAGTGTTCAAAGAGAAACAAATGAGTGTTCACTTCCCAAAAACCTGCTTCCACCTCACGTTCGACTGAAAGTCTTGGCAAACACTGCTGTTTGACATAACTCTGTCCACGAGTTTGGTCAAACAGCATTTGTGTGTTTTCAAACCGGACACAAAGAGAAACAAATGAGTGTTCACTTCCCAAAAACCTGCTTCCACCTCACGTTCGACTGAAAGTCTTGGCAAACACTGCTGTTTGACATAACTCTGTCCACGAGTTTGGTCAAACAGCATTTGTGTGTTTTCAAACCGGCCGACTACAGACTACAGACTACAGACTACGGACTACAGACGACAGACTACAGACACTGCTAATACTACAAATACAGACTACAGACTACAGACGACAGACACTGCTAATACTACAATTCCAACTCTTGTACCTATTTCATATGATCTAACGGCCTAAATATAATTAACCTGCGGGCCAGAGTTGGCCCCCGGGCCATGAGTTTGACTCATGGGAACGTGTCAACGTGCTGGGGCTCAACAATGGTTCAGTCTACGAAACAAAAATGTGGGGTTGGGGGATCGAGTTTGGGAGACGTCGCTCCAGACGATCAGTGTCCTACAACAGCATCTCTGCTTTTCTCACTCAAATCAAAGGCCTGTTTCAGACCTTTGCACTGACCTGATGACAGCTGATAGTGATGTGCAGTGATCACGACGGATCAATCAGTGCCTCAGCGTCAGCAGGTTTACCTTCTTCTCATCTGTCAGGTCCAGGGACTCCAGTTTTGTGCCTTGGTGCGCCGCATAAATTTCCAGAAGGTTGTCGAAGTTGGTGGTGAGCACCAGCGCGCCGCTCTCCATCAGCTGCAGCACTGAGCGCAGTAGGTGTTTCCCAGCGTTTTCCATTTTACACTCCAGGTCATCGAACACCTCATACAGGCAGTCCTTGAAGAACGTGGAGCGCACGTTCCCCGTTCTCTGTGGTAGGAAGAAGAAGAAGAGGAGGAGAACTACTGTCAGAGGAGACTGGCCTCTCAGAATTTCCTTGTATTATTATTATTTATTTATATTAAATTAAATATAACTTAACAAAAAATGTGAAATTAACTTTTTTTTTTCTCTCCGGGACGGATTAAATACAATAATGGGGCCGGTTTTGGTCCGCCGGCTGTATGTTTGACACCCCTGGTTTAGACTAAATACTAATGTGTAGATCAGGGGTCGCCAACCTTTCTGAAACTGAGAGCTACTTCAAGGGCACTTAGTAATACGAAGAGCTACTGGTTTGATACACACTTCCTGAACAATGTAACAATAATCAGTTCTGGGACAGACAATCGTAGACACTCGTCTTCTCACCATCATCATTGAACCTTTTTAAATATCACTGCAACAAAACAGTAACACTACAATGTTTGACTCTCTTGTTGACTAGTTTTATTTTTAGAACACGGTACCAGGTGACCCCCGGGCACCACGTTGGTGACCCCTGGTGTAGATCATCCCACACAGTCAATCCCATAGTTTGAAAGGATGCCTTTGATGTTACTCGAGAATCCAGAGTTCCAGGGAGTAGTACTGATACAGCTACAAGTACCTGAGGCTAAAAAGGCAGATACTGGAACATGGGAATGTCCTCTTTTTATTTTTAGTTTTGCTTCCAGCAAGTATCTGAACAAACACTCTTCAGTGCAGCATCACAAGTGTGTGTCGAGCTCAGTCAACAACAAGATTCCTCTGCAGGATCACCGAGGCCTTGACACCAATTTTTTAAATTCTTCCAAACGACTTCATAAAGATCCATCAATCACGGCGAGTCACCGCTGCCCCCGCCTCGGTTTGTTACAGTTTACAGACGTGTAAACACCTCAAATATATCTTCGTGAAGGAACCACATACTTGCATATAAAAATATGTGTCATATATATTCAATAAAAAAAAATCTATATACCACATATATACCAGTAAAAACGAGGAGCCAGAGGTGAAGTGTAGTGACGGAGGTGATGGAGGTGGGGGGGATTTCAGGGACCCCCCCGTCTCCCATGTAATTTTAGGGACGCCACATCATTAGGAATACATCATACATCTATAAAATAAAAAAATGTGTGACAATTTGCAATGGTTGAAATTAAAAGTGAATCGTGGAACAAGGAGTAAGGAGTAAGCTGCGTTAGCGCAAAAAGTCAGTGGTCATACCATGACACTACACACTCTAGTACAGTAGGTGGCGGTATGTGCCTAAAAACCTTGGATGTGATCTTCAGCCTCACCTACTCAAATTGTGGCCTTCTAGGATGTTAGATTAAAGCAAGTAGCTTTGTCACATAAAAAAATACCACAGTGAGGCAGCAGGGGGCCAACAACTAAACCCAGACTAGCTGGTTAGTACTAGTAAAGACACTGGTGACAAACACTGGCTCACATCCCTTCATCGTCCACAGCCAACAGACGAACTGTGGTATGTGAACTAATATCAACGCTCTAAGGGAACTCTTTGTTCCCTTTTAGTCCACAGACTGAGGGCTGCCACAGAACGAGTTCTATCAATGTCAAAGATGCGATGAGACATAACTAACGCTGAGGACAAACAGTAAAAAGGGTCTCCATCTGTCAGTCTAGCACTGGACCAGACACTGGGATGTGTAAAAAAAAAAAAGTGACCTCCCTAAAATGAACGTGTGATTATTCCAGTAACTGTTTTGGTTCATTAACAAACACTTTAAGAACAAATTCAAACCACAGCCTCTTTTCAATAACACGAGGCTAGGCTGCTGAAACAAGGCGGTGTTTGGCTGATGGACAACAACCCGAAAACCAGTCCTGCTGTGTTTGAGCACGTCCTGCAGCGTGATGTTTTGTAAAACAGCGAGGGGAAGAATAAAGAGCAATCTTACCGGGGATAATTTCTGAATGAGGTCATGGGCCACATGCACTAGATTCTTGTCTTCCTTCATGTGCCGCTGAAACCGCCGACTCTCCTCCTCTTCTAGTAAGTCAAAGTCGTTCGCTGCATCGAGCAGGGCCTGGATGAGGCCTTTCCAGGAGCGCAGCGCCGGGACCTGGGGGGCCACGGCGGAGCTCACCCCTGTGCCAATCACCAGCACCAGCTCTGGGGCTCGTTTATTCTTCAGGCTGGGCAGCAGTTTCCTTTGAACCAGGCAGAGAGAGGACGAGTGATTACTGTTGCCTAACAGGGTTAGGGTTTTTCCACATTCTTTCAACAGCAGAAAAGATAAACAAACATTTCATGTAATGAGGTCAGTTTTGTGACTGACTGATAAACAGTCAGCCCTGAGAGGGTTAACGTCTGACTGTCACTGTCACCATGACGTCCAGCTGGTCTCCAGGTCGGCCCCATCAGCTTACCTGGGCTTTTTCGCGTTGGAGTCGGCATCCTGTGAGTCTGCTGCAGGCTGAAGCCGCTTCTCAGTTTTCATTGCCAGAATGGAGTCCATTCACCTCCTGAAACTGAGAGACCATCAACACGATCATGTGTTTCCCTCCTCCTCATGATGGATGTTCTGTGTTGACTAATGTATCATCATATTTACGAGGAGACAGAGTGACTTAATAATAATTAAAAAAAACAACAACTTTGTTTTCCAAGGCACACCCTAGAGTGACGTCACCTCCATTGTTTTTGTTGGTGTCATACTTGTAATGTTATTTTTCACATTATAGTCCCTTTGTTTCTGGGATGTTTTTATTTTTGATTTCCTAGTTGAGCTCCACAATCCAACGTCGTCTTAAAGAGCACTACGCAAAGTTATGGGACGCAAAAAACCCCAAAAACTTTACTTATATTACGGCTATTGTGAGGGAAATGACACATGCTTCAGGTGTTTGGCTAACAGGAAGTAAGTCACAATTTCCTTTCTAAAAACACGCGTTGTAAAAACGATCATACCGAGTACCTGCATCTATGTGTAACGTCATACTTATCTACGGTATCTTACCGTGGCGTAGGAAAGTTGATGTCCAGCGTTTCCACTACTTTGAGTACAAGTCCTTAGGCAGAAGTCGGTTAGGTTATACTAGCTAATTAACCCAGTTAAGGTTAACAACGCTTGTTGTATAACTGCGCACACAGAAGACGCAGCATACATAGGCACTGAGCAACAGTTTCTATTTTGAATTTAGCCAAGTTAGCTGCCCTCTAAAGTTGCTGCACTCTCCGGCTCATTGTGAGACCAAGGTTGGGATATTTGAAGCGGCAACAGTTGTCGTTGTTAGCTGACAATGTTAGCGGATCCTCTCGCCAATCGCCTGTCTTCTTTTCCAAACATCGTGTGTCCCCGTTTAAGTTTGTAGCACTTGTTGAAGTCACTGCCTGCAGTGACGGACGCCCGGCTCTTGTGATGCGTTCAGGTACTCCTTCCAGAACTCCCGTTTTTTTTTTTCCTCATTCGCTCACCACACGTGACGTTTAACTCACTGACCCAGGGGTGGACCTAGAGCTAGAGACCGTTTGTAAAAACAAATACCTTATTTGCCTGAAATATTTACACGAAATTGAGTCGTATTTTGACTCGTAGTTCCGGAAAGAAGAGATTATAATAAAAAAATATTTGTCGATATCTGTGGAGCCTGAAGGCCCCATCATTTTTTAATCGGCGGTACATAACATTTACCTAAATACAAATATATGCAAACGGTGACAACGTGAAGCACTTGAATGCAGCAAAACAAATCGAATAAATAGTGAATTTATTACGTCATGGCTGACGTTATCATAGGAGAGATGCTATATAAAAAAATACAAAATACAATAAATATATTTTATATATATATAATAATACAAAAAAGATGCTATACAAAAAAATAAAATTATTAACACATGACTCGATCTCTAGATAAGTTACGTTAGATAACAACGTTAGTTTGATCAGTAATCACCAAACAAAACAAAGTACAAATAAATATATATATATATATGCTTGAGAATGGGCCTCTTTTCCACTCCTTTTGGATCACACGGATTAACACTGACTCACAGACAGAACCACATCATTCAAATAAGGCGATTTTGATCCGGGACAGTTAAAAACCACAAGTCCCATAAATCCATACTCCATGCCTTTGGATCACACCCAGTGGTTAACTGTGTCACACTCACTCACAGCTGCAGATGTTTGTTTTTCTAGACAGGAAGGTCGTTTTTAACCACAATAATTCTATTGGTTCTTCCATTTATAACACATTTTCGAAGAGGAACACGTCAGCGTTCGGTCCAACCACTCCCGCCCTCTGCCGCCATCTTCTGTTTAAGACATAAAATAACTAAAATATTTAGACCAAAGGTCACAAAAAAAAAAAAAATCAACGCGACGTGAAGATGTTATCATCATGCTGCTGTTGTGTATTTTTCCAGAGATATTTTTGCAGTTTTAAGAAAAAATAATGTGCAGACATTTTTTTATTCTTCCCTTTATTCACAACAAATCCAACCAAACATATATTGATGAAAATACCCCGAGCAGTACCAACGTGACACAGTGGTACTGCAACATAATGATACTAACGTGTACAGTAATATTAATTAAAAATCAGAGTTCTATACAGTACATCTGGAGGGGCATTTTAAATCAAAGCAATTAAATATTCAAGTTTATTTATTGATACGTTACTTTAATGAGTTAATTATGAAATTGTATGATGATTAGCCAATAGCTACACAAGTAATTCAACAAATATAATTTAATTTTAAATTATTTTGATCGGTAAAGTAACATACTTTAATGTACACATAAGTGCAGTTCTGCTTTAGCTTGTTTTTTCTTGCCAATGTAATTACTTTCTTTGTAATCAATATGGGTCTCAATCTTTGGTATTGATCAGTGTATGATGTCGAAGACAGAGAAAAACATTTAAGGCATTTTATGTCAACAGTCAAAAACATACACATTGATTAATTCTCAAAATTAAATATGAAATAAATAATATAAGAAGAAAAAAAAATCTTTAATTTTTTTTAATTCTTTCTTTAGTGTGATTTACCCTAACGTTCCTAGACTACCATTCCCATACAGGGGCAAAATCAATCATTTAAAAAGAGCGTCTGACTGGGGTGCGTCTTCAAGACGGGAATAAAGTACCAAAAAGAGTATTGCATTTCATTACATTCATGTAATTCATTAATAAATGCTTGTCATTTTAAAAAAAAAAGAGACAAAACGCACAGACTTCAAAACTCTTTCCTCACTCACAGAGGTTCAACCAACAGAAACACCACCCTGTGGCTGTGCTGAGCCACAACAACGTCAAGTGAATTAAGGAAACTTTTTAATTTAATTTTTTTTTTTAATTTGCCGTATGATTGACTGAAGTCCAAGCTGACTAAACTCTACCGTCCCTTTAACAAACAGGACATTTTTGAATCTTTCTTTCAAGGCAGCAAAATATTTTTTTAGAACAAATAATGAATTAAAATTTCAATTAATTAATTGGTTAATTCATTAATACTACAGGTGTAGTTATCAACTTTGACCAGTTAAATTGAGCAAAGTTTTAGTAAAATTCCTGACACACAAAAAAAAAAAAAAAAGAAAAATGAGGAGAATTATGATCACCTGATTTCTGATTGGACGTAGACGTTATGGAGAGATGGCTTTAAGGGCACAGGAGGGTTAGCAGAGGTGCAGTCAGGCTGCAGTTGTGAGGAGATCCTGACATTAGAACTCTGTGAAGGCAACAGACCAAACCAAAACCGAGTTCGAGTTCAGACAGAGATAGAACCCTCTCTGAAGTTCGTCTTTCCTATCAGGACGTTGAGAAGTGTGGCCTTCCCCTCCCTGGCCTCCGTCTGAGCCTGCCTGATGATGTCACTCAGCCTGTCCTCATCATCACGCCCTATCAGGTAGCCCTTACCACCGAACCCGTCAGCCACCGTGTGATAATCTGCAGAGAGGACAGAACACAGAATGTTCCAGAAAACAATATGGACCTCGTTTAATAAAAAAAAAAAAAAAGACTCACCCGTAAACGCCAGGCCACACGCCACGTTGCTGCCAAGGATTGGAACCTGGTCCCTGGAGATCTGACTCCAACAGGCATCGTTTCCTACCACAGCTATGACTGGAGTCTGTCGATGGAAGGAGAAAAAAAAAAGATAGAAAATGGTTATAAATAATGTTATGCAATATAAACAAAGAAAATATAAAAAATAATATACAGTTGAAAAATGTTAGTGTCTCAATACTGTATTAAGCTATACAAGTTAAGTCAAATATATATAATTATACATACATATGAATACATATATACACATACATACTGTCTACACACATCTATATGCATACATATAAATGTAAATATATATAAATATATGTATGTAAATTAGACAAAATACATAGTATGATTATGTAAAAAACTGCTGATTTTACCTTGTGTCTTGTGAAGGTGTCAAACTCGGCCACACTGTATCCTAGGGAGCCATCTCCATACACGACCCACACCTAAGAATACAAAGAGGATCATGTAAAATGAACAAGGACAATATAGGGAAATATATATATATATATAGATTTTATGAATATTTAATGACTATACCTCAGAGTCAGGACGGCACAGTTTTGCCCCGAGGGCAAATCCTCCTCCGACTCCAAGAGTTCCAAAGGCACCTGTATACATTTAATATAAAGAGTTGAAAGCTCTGAGTTCAGATCAGAGAAACCAGATCACATGACAGGGTCCGTTTCATCCACACCTGGGTCCAACCAGCGCAGCGGCCCCCGAGGTCTCATGATGTAAGCAGCACTTCCGACAAAGTCTCCTCCGTCAGCAACGATGAAGCTGTCCTCCGCCATCAGCTCATCCACGGTGTGGAGCACCTTCAGGGGATTCAGGTGACGATCCGTCTTCTCATCAGCCTTAGCCCTGGAGGGCAAAGGTCAGTAAAGCACTGTGAGAGAATCCACACCGTCTTTACACCAACACTCCTGACTGACTGATGATTAAAATAACGAATGTACTCTAAGACACCGTGGTTATCACCTGTTGGTGTTTTCTTTGGTGGCGTCTCCTGCTCGGAGGCTCTGCGTCCACTCCTCTGGACAGCGGTGGCCCTTCAGACCCTTGGACAACTGCACCAGGAATGAACCAGCATCACCTGGAGTGAACAAAAAGCATCTTTTTGTTACATAAATATAAAATAACCACACTGTTTTTTTAACAGATGTGAAAGTTTTCATGCATTTCCCAAAGACTGGGTCGCGACCCTCAGGTGGGTCGCAAGATTATCTTTGGGGGTCAGGAGTTTACGAATAATGTCTATTGACTTGGGTGACGAAACTTTGGGAAACAAATAAATAATAATAATATATATATATATATAGTCGAGTAATAAAGAAGTGAATAAATAATAATAAAATATATATATATATAGTCCAGTAATAAAGAAGGAAACTACATCTTCAAAGAAGTCATGTCGACTACAGCAACATTTAAAAAAACAAAAAATAAAAAACACCATATATATTATAAAAACCTTTTAAGGTGTGGATGTGTGTGTTTGTTTTTTTTTCTTCATTTTTTCAGAATCATAAATGGCTGATTCAGGATCAGCATAATCATAAAACCAAACCTGGATAAAGGAAGTTGTCAAACCTACCTTGAATGGCCAGCGTTGGTTTCCAAAACATGTCTGAGTTTTTCAGAAGCTGACTCTTGTCTCTGTTGACAGCGATGATTTTGCTCCTTCTGTTGAGCACTCTGCCGTAGCTGAGGCGGAAGTCACACACGGTACCTGAACGCAGCACAACAGAACACGTGAGGACTCCTGTGAACCCTAACACATTAAATGACGACTCGAAATCACAGGTGAATTTAAAAGTCTGGCCAAACCTGCCAAGAGCACCAGATCTGCCTCCTTCAGAGCGTCTCTTCTGTTCTGTCTGATGTGAATGGGGCTATTCTTACCCAGCAGGCCACGAGACATGCCCCCCAGGAAACACGGGATACCCAGAACCTCCAAGGCCTTTCTGTAGAGCACGAGGACAATTTAACACCAGGACAAAGCAACAGCAACAGCACGATTTACACTGACGTAAGAAACTGAAGAGAAAGGAAGACTAGTGGAAAGTTTTGATTTTTTTTGTGTCCCACCTGATGTCATCGACCGGTGTCGGAGGTAATGTAGCCTGGCTGCCCAGCAGAATCACAGGTTTCTTGGCTCGGCTGACCAACTCTATGCACCTCTGCACCTGATTTTAACATGTCAGAAAACATCCCAAAAAAAAATGTTGGTTTCCTAAAACTCCTTTAGAACACGGGCAAAATTAGCTTCTTTTTTTTGTGTGGCCACACCTGATCATTTGTAGATAGTGGGATGTTAACAGGAAGTGGAGACACGTCCCTTTTCTCCCAAGCTCCAGCAAACAGGTTTTTAAGGTGGTTGTTGAGATACCTGGAGAGAAATTATATTATATTATATATATGTCAATATTACAATGTACAATGTAAGAATTCTTAATAAGTAGATACATTTTTTTAAATATTATTTTGAATTTAAAGATGCATTTCATATTGAATTTTCAAGAATAACACAAGAAACGGCAAAGGTTGATAACATACCAAGACATGATTTTTCCCATCAGCCCTTTGGGCACATTTGTCACCCCGAGCTCTTTGGCCACCAGGTGGTAGGGGTACAGTGTGTCAATGGGGAACTCTATGAAAACAGGACCGGGGGTTCCAGACTGAGCGATGGCCAGGGCTTTCCTGATGGTGGGCACGATCTCCCTGACCGTCCTGATGGACGCGCAGAACTTACACAGGGGCTTGAACAGAGACATCTGGTCGATGTCCTGGAGTGCTCCTCTCCCCTGAGCCACACAGACGGATGAAAAATATCATTTTAATGTGACACCAACAGTCACTTCATATTCACATACAGTAAGAACGTGAATTAAAGTCACCTGAAGAAGTGTTCCAGCGGCGCCGCCCATTAGCAACAGCGGAGACTCAGCCATCTGGGCATTTTTCACAGCTGTCACTGTGTTCGTCAGACCTGGGCCAGCAGTGACCGCCGCTACACCCACGGTGCCTGGTGGAGAAGGTGATGCAGAATCAACAACAGCTACAAACACCCACGGTGCCTGGTGGAGAAGGTGGTGCAGAATCAACAACAGACGTCAGGACGCCTTTGGAAAACATAACTCGACTAAAAGACTTCATTAGAACAAGGTAAACATCTTTGTCAGCTTAATAATAAAATAATAATTAACAATATCATTTGAAACTCTTGTGTCAACAGCAGATCTCCTGCAACAGGCCAAGCATGTGATTCCTCTAGGAATCGAACCCTCGACTCGCTGCTTCTGAGTCAGGCGTGCTAACTGCTACACTACAGAACATAGCCTCACACTGTGTTGTTAGTTTAAGGCAGTGGTTATTAAGAACCTAATAACATATATATTTTTTATCTGTACAAACCACTGTATGAGCTGCTGCCACCTAGTGACTGGAGGCTTGTTAACATTCATACATGTCCATATGCGTGCCATATTCCATTTAAAGGCCTCACCACGCCCACCCAGGGGGCCGCGCCCCACTATTTGGGAAGCCCTGGTTTTAGGCCTAGGAACATGTTGTCAGTTTTACAAGTTAATATCGCCATGTGGTTAAAAACAAACGGTAAATCTGAGCGGTCGCTGTGATTCAAGCCCGGTACTGTTCAACAGAACGGTTCAATCTGGCGACTGTTGTCTTCACTCTCTGTAACTGCCATGTTCACTGGTGTAACACTTAAAACGGTACCTGACAGTCTGGCCACAGCATCAGCAGCAAACACAGCAGTGGCTTCGTGTCTGGTGTCCACGATACGGATGCCGACCTTCTCACAGGCCACCAGGATGGGCGAGATGTGTCCGCCCACGAGGGTGAAGACAAACTTGACTCCATGGGCGCGGAGGACCTCGGCCACGCTCTCCCCACCGTGACGTGGACTCTGGGTTTCAACCTGAAAAACAGATGAGGACACACTGTACTGATCTGTCATGGTAGAGCAGAGTTTATCGACCCCGTGACCTGCACGGCATGAACAAGAAAAATAAATAGATAAAAGTAAGAAAGTATGAATAAATTAAGTAAATGAACAGATGATAAAATGATGCTAATTTGTGTTAACGTTGTGCATTCCTTTTAGGTTCTGTAAAACTTGGCACAAAGAACAAACCACATCCAGGAATGTCAAATTTTTTTTGGCAACTCTCAGACTTAATGGACATTTGTGTTGATGTTGAAGTGCAACTTTAACATAGCCTGAATCACAACAATCATCCATTAGGTTGAGGTGCATGTGGTCCATTACATCTCCAACATGCAAATACTGAATCAAAAGCGGTGATTTTTGCAAAAGTAAAAATCACAAATGGGTTTGTAAAGTTTGTCTGTTACAGATAAATACATGTTGCAGTGAAAGGATGGTCATTTATTTAGTCCACAGACCTCATGTTTACCACCACCTGACAGCCTGTGTGCACTCGCATGCCCTGCCCAGCTGATATGATGGGCCTTTGTGCTCCACACAAACAGGTTGGTCAAAGGTGGAGTCCATCTCACTTCAGTGTGAGGTGGTGTTGGTTGGAGGTAATGCAACAATGCACTACGACGCATGTGTATAAATAAATGAAAACAATGGAAACTCGTGAAGAGTAAAAGTTGCTTTTGGTGTGAAAGGAAAGCCCACCTTGTGGAAGAGTTGGTAGAACAGTCCAAGTTTGTGGGCTGCGAACACAAGCCCGCACACCACGACGCAGGCTGAGCACCCGAGAGCCGCGACGAAGGTTCCGAGTGGATCCATGTCCGAGAGAATAGTGTAGTGTTGTTGGTGAACTGAACTGAACAGAACCAAACAGAACAATACACACCTGCACTAACTCGACCACTTCAGCACCAAGCTAGGCTAACAGTAGATGGAGCTGCTCTAACGACCGCTTGATGCGCATTACAAAAGTTCTTGTTTACAACATGACACTAACAGATAAGTAAGTCCGTGTAAAGTTCCCCAAGAACCGCCCCGAGGGCAGCGATCACACCGTTATAACCAATAAGATACTACCGTGACCTGTTTTAGACAAGCGCTATATCCTGTACACAGACACAGGATATACAGGGAATACGTTTACATGTACAACTAACGCGAGCTACACGGACTGTATCCGGTTGTCACCTTCAAAATAAGTGTCACTACGTTAGCTGAACTGGTGATATCTGCAACCGTACAAGTGCAGACGATACTCGAACTAGAGTTGTTTGAATTTCATCACCCAAAAACTGGTCGTCAAACTTACACAAAAATAATACTCCCTTATTTTAAAGGAATAAAACCCATTTCCGGTTACCACAATTATTTCATGCAATAGAACTTCTAAAGGAGAGTACAAGTGTCTGGTCCAATAAGAACGCCCCTTGTGGGCGTTTCTTAAACCACGTCGATTCTAAAAATCATTATTATTAATATTATTATTATATGAAACATAGGTAAATTGAAATGTCGTTTACTTTTCACAGAGTTACAAATTGACATCCACAAAAAGAGGTCACGGTATTATAAAACATGTCTCATATACAGCAATATATATAGTAAATAACTCTGATAATAAAAATCTGGTCCAAATCCAATTTCAGATCAGATTTCTGCAAAGTTGAAGCTGCAAATTTAATCCTCTTTGTCTTTATTTGAATTGAAAAAAAATCGATCAATCTTAAAACAAAGACCCATTGATGTAATGACAACATTAACAGTTTTTATGGACAATGTTACTTATCAATTGTCTCTTTCATTTGCTGCTGTAATACCCCGCAGAGCGCCGAGTGTCGCTGTTTCCCCGATTTCCCATGCTCAAACCCACGGCCCCACACGACAGCAAAGTGACTTCCGGGTTCCTGCAGTTGATCTCGAGCCTAAAGGTCTCGCCTCTGTCCGGCTCCAATAGGCTTCATCCTTTTACGACACCTGTGTTGAAGGTGAGGCATTTAATCTCCATGGTTACAGACACATCTTAGCCCCCGTAGTTTTGCAGCAGATCGAGTTGGTTGATCCGGTTTTATTCGGAGCAAAGCAGTTTGATATTTAAATTCGTTATTGTGTAAATATTGGTTTTGTGTGTTTTCCCTTTAACGTTTTCAGGCCGAGAATTATTGGCTGCATCTGGCGACACCCTCGTCGTCTGTATCTCCGAAGAGATAAGTCTGCACACCTGACTTTAAAGTTTGGAGCAGCCATAGCTGACGTTTCACGAGAGAAGTTGACGATTTACTTTGTGAGCCGATTTGGTGCAACTATTTCACAAACGTACGGCAGCGGCAGTTTATAAATATGTAGAGACGTAGCCTCGGGTTTTGGTCATATCACTGAACCTGACGCCACAGCTAACGTGTGCAGCTGTAGCAGCGACGTATTTTCGTCGACATGGACGGAACGTTTGGTCCTCGTCTGTCTCTGAAGCAGAGATATGTCTTTCTGCTGTGTATCGCCGTCGGAGGCATTGTTTTTTATAAGTTTTGGAGGTAAGCTCGAACCACTGAGAGTAAAAGTCCGCTAACAGGTACCTGGATGTCAGCTACCAGATGTTCTTTACTCCAAGGCATTCACCGAGTTATACAATCGTGAACTTTGACATTACTGTGTGGTTACGGATAACTTTATACATCACGACCGAAAACGGTTTGTTAAAAAACCGTTAACTTAAGTCACGTTATTTCCTGAATAATCAATCATATCTGCAGAAATCCAGTGTTTTTGTTTTGTTTTTACAAAGGAAATAGACATTTATGAATTTGTCCGATCAGCTTTATGGAGGTTGTGGTATAAAATCACAATGTTATTACATTGTTTTTACATATATTTTTGCCATAATTAAAACTCGGGCCAATCATATGTCGTCAGTCACGAGACGATTGAATTTCTCAGTAGGGTTGTTTTTCACTATTTTATTGAATTTCTCAGTAGGGTTGTTTTTCCAAGAAGCATTTTTTTTAAATTAAACACTAATTATTTTTTATGAATATTTTATCATTTAAAAGTTGCATGAAATCCCTACTACAGAAGTTTGGAGAAATGTTAAATAAAAAATGATTCTCTAATGTATGTTAGAAAGTTAGTTAGAAAAATAAAATTGCTGTAACCAAATTGGCTAAGCTTAACCAGCAACAGGTGTAGTACAACTATCAGTAACTGTACGGCGCTGTTGAGCAGCCTATGGTACAGACCATGAATTTTATTTACTTGTTTTGACCAATGTTTGTGTTTAACCAGATAAATTGATATTTCACGTCACAAACGCTCATTAAGTCCAGTTGGATTCTGTTTTTCAGGGTTGATCCTAAAGTAAAAAGAATGAGCCGCGTCGAGGGTCTGCGGGCCAACTCCTCACAGTTCACTCTGGAGGGAAAACCCTTCCGCATCCTGGGAGGTTCCATCCATTACTTCCGTGTTCCCAGAGCCTACTGGAAGGACCGTCTGCTGAAGCTGAAGGCCTGTGGCCTCAACACTCTCACCACGTACGCTCCGAACTTTGTCAAATTTAAGGATCATTGTAGTCGATCAGAATATGAAATTTGTCTGGAGCTAATGTTGTTAAAACCTCCTTTCATCAGACGGTGAAGTCCGAAAAGACATTCTGTCATTGATGTAGCAATTCATATGTAGGTACATAGATGTATTGTATTAATTATTATTTTATTTCTTTTACAGATATGTGCCTTGGAACCTACATGAGCCAGAGAGGGGAGTGTTCAACTTTGAAGATGAGCTGGATATAGAGTAAGGACTGATGATAAAACAGAGACGATTCCAAAGCCCCTCATGATAGGCTTGTTTTTCAGGCCTGCACCTTTAAAAATACTTTTTTTTTTAAATCATTGAACTAACAAAACAAAGCTGATTTGGAGCTGAAGTAGAGATGTCACTAAAGTCCAGCCTAAAAGAAAATACAGTTTAGTTTTCTTTTAAATCCACTGGAAAATCTAGATAACGTCAGAGAACAGGGATTGTCTCCAGCAGATGGCACTGTTGCTCTTCGAGGATGTGGAGGTCTATAGTGTCTGTTATCGATGCCACATCAATTCATCTTTAACTGCAAATATTGTTAAGGTTCGTGTGCACGGAGCTAGAACTAATGGGGGGGGGGGCAAGTGCAGCTCAGTAAAGAGAGTGGTAGCAAATGTGCGTGATGGAGTATTTGGGTTCTTTTTTTTAATAATCTGTTGGATGATTCACATGTTTTAATTTGATTCAACACTGTGGATTAATTCAGATTAATCAATATTTCTGGGGGCAATTAAACGGACCGAAATATAACAAATCGATATGTTTCATATTTTCTGTATTTGTGGAAAAAACCCATTAAATGTTATGTTTGTTTCTCAGAGCTTACCTCAGCCTAGCGGCTAGCCTGGGCCTGTGGGTGATTCTACGTCCAGGGCCGTATATCTGTGCTGAGTGGGATTTAGGAGGGCTGCCCAGGTAAATGTCAAGAACCATCGATTGCATGTTGCTTGTACAGGGTTTTTTTTTTTTAAATCATGTTACAGTCATACTTTTATTCTGAAAGAGCCACTGGCGCTGAGCCAATTCTTTTCAATTGTCTAGAAAATAAATTCTCTGGTTAAATACTCTGTTAGCTGGCGATATCATTGCTACAGGCTAAAAATCCATTTACCGCTCACCGAGTTATTGTTTTAGTGAGAAACTGCTGAGGATAAACATCAGACCTGGCAGGCACGTCTCTGTCAATAGATGAATTAATTACTGTAGATGAACAACAAACTGTTGGAAGGTGAAAGGTTATTCATTTTCCTAGCGTACTTTTGTCTGCACAGGAAGTTTTGTATTCACTGGTTTTGTTTTGTTTTTTCTCCAGTTGGTTGTTACGGGATGAAAACATGAAATTGAGAACAACGTACCCAGGATTCAAAGCCTCAGTTGAAATATTCTTTGATCAACTAATCAAGAAGATCGTTCCATACCAGGTATTTAAAAATCTGGTGATGAAATGATATATCGCAACATGTCAGTATGGATAATTTCTCACACCCCCAATATATATATATATATATATTTATATGACTGATTGAATTATTGTTTTTTTTTAATCAGTGTACAATTCCCTCTGTGTAAAAATTATTACTGGCAACAATTCTAACGTGTTTCTCTTGTTTTTTTTACTGTGCAGTACTCCAAAGGTGGCCCAATTATTGCAGTTCAAGTGGAGAATGAATACGGCTCCTACGCTGCCGATAATGAGTACATGCCGTTCGTTAAAGAGGTGAGAATATAAGATGGTCTTCTGAGACAAATGTACGGTTTCTCAGCCAAACTCTCTCTGCTATCTTTAAAAATCCAATAATCATATTTGCTTTATAAGAAACCTCCACAACTGCACTACTTTTTTTTTTTTCTTTTTCTATTTTTTTCCCTCTAGACATTATTGTCAAGAGGCATCACAGAGCTGTTGATGACCTCTGACGGGGACGGACTGAGGAAACACGGAGGAGTGAACGGAGGTATTGACAGAGACAACGGGACAACAAATACAGCCAGCAGTGTTTGGTGTTTTTACAGAGTGAGAGGAGATCTTAGAAGAGTGCGACCCAGTGTCAGACAGCTGGGCTTCAGAGCAAGATATTGCACACAAAAGGATTCTGTGCAGTACTGTAGTTCATTCTATCAGGTAGAGTGACAACGGCACCGATGTTGTGCTGTCAAAGCCGTGGCGTCAAACACTGAGGCTGAGAATCGAACATTCTGACTGGTTGTTTGAGCCAAGATTACAGTAGAGAATATCATTTTACCAAAACTGCATTACATTCATCCAACTGAAAATTTCCAGAATTTCAAATTTTCTAAAAAAAAAAAATTTTTTTCTTTGTGTTGTCTTTGAAGCACTCAAAACCTTCAATTTTCAAAGACTGAACATGGACCGCGTTAAGTATCTGGATGAAGTACAGGTAGGCGTGTACACAGTTGGCATGTTAATGTTTGTAAAATTACTGTATATTAGATCAGTTGTTACAAGAGGTGTCAGAAGATTACGCAATATTTGGTTTTACGATAACGTATCGATATCAATTAAAATGCAAATATTCCTGGTGTTGGTTCATTTTCTTTTTCTTTTCTTTCTTCTCTAGTGATTCCAAATGTAGATCCCTCTGTTCCAGTGTTAGGAACTGATGTTCAGATGGAACAGAGTCTCAGACTAGGATCACAGTTTTACTCCACCTGCCTATAGTATTGTAATATATCACAACATATCGTATCGTCGCCCCGCTATTGTTATACGTATCGCATCGTCAGATTATCGCCAATACACACCACTAGTGGTTACTAGTTTTCTCAGTCCTTCCAATAACAGAGAGACTTATTCACACACTTGAGTTATGTGTCCGGGACGTTAATGTTTACGCTGATTCATTGCTTCCATTAATGCAGTCATATAATCAGACGAGGAGACCTTGTAGCTACACAGACGTAAGTGTTGTTTTTTAAGACCTGTACATCCAATCATTTCTCCCCTCTGTCCTCTGTCCAACCCCTGCAGCCTCAGAAACCAAAGATGGTGATGGAGTACTGGACTGGCTGGTTTGATCTCTGGGGAAACCTCCATCACGTGTTCCCAGCCGAGGGTGAGTCTTAACTTTGACAGAGACGAGTAAGACAGGGATGGGAATAGAACACGTGTTGACACGAGGCTAAAAGAGCAGTTTCACTGATGGATTTGTTGTACAGGCCAAAAAAAAAAAGTCCCTCTCTGAACACGGGATCGATAATTTGAGCCTGGAGTAAGACAGGTTTAGTGCTGCGAGCCAAAACACCCGTCCTCAAGGTAAAACACAATGTCTTGGGAGCGGGCAGCGTTTTAAGGCTTTAGATTAGGAACGGCTTAAGGCATCACTACCCAGAATTCAGATGTGAGGTCCAAGGAATTCCATTAATCCAACATCCATCTGTCTGACACAAACACACGCACAAATTACTGCAGTGTGAAGCTGGGAGAACACCGAGTCACATGTCTTTGTCGATTCAGTCCAAAAATCTAACACGACGTTGGTTTTTCTGAATCTGACAGTGTTTTCCCAAATTTCCAGAAAACAATTAGCTACCCTCACCTGAAGGGGGCACAAGATCAGTACATTACAACATCATCAATGTCACATAGAAATCTTCACTCACTTCACTCACATATCATTCATATAATAAAAGTATCAATTTAATTATAATAATAAAATTTGTCTGTTTTCTATAAATGTATCTCTGAGTTTTGGTGGGGCTACAACAGTGATCACTGAGGAGCATTTTTTAAAATTATTGTATCAATTTAATTATAATAATAAAATTAGTCTGTTTTCTATAAATGCATCTCTGAGTTTTGGGGTGACTACAGCAGTGACCACTGAGGAGCATTTTTTAAAATTATTTTAATGACTTTATTTTAACAAACTACCTTCTTAATTTTTTAATTTGAAGTCTACTTTATAGTAAAAGTCTATTGTGTTCTATTCCTCCATCGTTACATGAACCACGTCGTCCACATCGTCACCGTTTGTGTTTTGATCTTTTCCACAGACATGACCTCTGTGGTCGAAGAGATCCTCAAACAGGACATGTCCATCAATCTCTACATGTTCCACGGAGGGACGAATTTCGGCTTCATGAACGGAGCGCTGGCCGTCGACTTACCGGTGCCTCTGCCGATGGTAACCAGCTACGGTAGGTGTAGTAACGATAGGTGTTTCATGACCGGTAACAAACCAAACTCTCCCCTTTCTTTGAAACGGTAACTGCTGGCACAGGACTTCAACCGTGTCAGAGTTTGAGCGCCCACTTCGTAGCGATGAATAATTTACCAATAAAATGCAAAGCAATGTAAATGAAAGGCAGAACAATGAGGTTCGTATTCTCCTCTCGGGTACTTCATGTTATAATGGCCTCATTCTCCACACCAGAAGAGGAGCATTCTGAAGTGCTTGAAAGACTCTGACCTCAGCACTCTTCACGCTCACGTGAATATATTGCAACGCCGCCCTTTTTTTTTTTTTTTTTTTTTTTAACCTCAAAGGCCCAATTTTCTCACTGTGAAATCTTAAGAGACACGTCTCCGGCCAGCAGCTGAGTAGAGACGTTCTCTCTGTTATCTTTTCAGATTATGACGCTCCGTTGTCCGAGGCTGGGAATTACACTCCCAAGTACCATCTTCTGAGGACAGTATTCAGCCAATACCACAGTGAGTTGTTGTTGTTGTTTGTCCTTTTTTTTTCTTTGATAAAATGTCACCAAACATTCACGTGACAGAAGCCAATGGTTTGAAATTATAGCATCGAGTTTCATCAACAGGAATTGTTGTCGGTTTTTGTCAATAACCATTACTAATGGACTTATTATTACCTTGAAAATAGTAATAATGTAGTAATACTACCATACTTTTATTGGCCAATACTACTGTCAGTCACACTCCAAGTTTTCCTCTGTAGCCAACACTATTCATTTCCTGTGTGTACTCTTTAAGTACTGGTACACCTGCAGTTCCAGACCCGACCTCAGAGCGGCCCAGTCCACATTCATGTCAGAGACAAAGGGTTGATGAATTACGATCGACATGTAATCAGGAATTCCGGCAGTGGACCTGAGCGCGGCTCTGTAGCCTAGCAACATGTAACCCACAATGCACCACTTGTGTGTCTCGTTGTGATAGCAGTTTACAGCAACACTTCCCACACAAACACACAAACTTATAATTACCGTTCAAAATTGCGTGGACTGACACACACAAACTCCAGGCTCCAAAAAAAGTGTTTATTTTGCATAGACTTGGTTGTAAACAAGCAATGACTTTCACTATAAAGTTAGATTTATTTTAAATATACAGTTTGGATTTGACTTGTTGTATCACCTGGTTATTGCTGTTTATGGTATTCAGTACGGAGCTGTTGTATCACCTGGTTATTGCTGTTTAATCTTTAATCTTAATCACTAGTCCAGACCACACACACGGTCAAAAGTGGAAACTGAATTAGCTGAATATTTTAACAAATTATTTACATGCTGCCAGCGACTCTCTGCCCTTCAGTGCAGATTTTTGTTTCACCGATGAAATGAAGTTGACCTGTCAGGTCAGACAAGAGTATTTCACCACAGCAGTTGGTGATGGACTTTTAATTTTTGAAAATATTACTCTAGTATTTCTAATTCCACACCAGCCTGTTTGTGCAAATCAGGATTAAAAAAAAATTACTCTAGTATTTCTAATTCCACACCAACCTGTTTGTGCAAAAAATAAATGCTCAGAAAGTTCAAAGGTAGTCATTTTCTAATCAACAAACCGATCTGTAGACACAAAGACTCATCGTCGGGTGGAGGAAGTCTGAGCTGCACCTGAATGAGTCTTTAACTTTTCAACGTCTCGTCTCATGTTACGAAAATGACCAGAATAGAAATTAACATTACTGTATGACCACCGAGCTTTTCCTCCTACATTTCCATCAGTATCTAAAACACCAGAGACGCTGCCATCAGGTCTCTCTGCTTTATTCTCCACCCTTTTACAAAAGCGACCCAGTCGTTAACACTCACGACAGACGCAGTAGCTGCTGCTGCTGCTGCTGCACAGAGAGAAAAAACAGCCTCTTGAGAAGCTTTAAAAGGATTTTTTTTTCCATGGAAAAGGTCATATTTATTATTAAAACACTCAAGTGTTCATATGCTGGAAAACGTGAAGTATATAATATGTTCTCTGGAGAGAGTGTGAAATGGAGAAGGTCACGTTGTTAGCCGACACGGGACCAAGGCGTTGGTTTGAATCCCTGACGATAAATAACCCAGAATAACCCTAAACCTGGATGTGGAATTCATCCACACACATCTGTACATGTTTGATGCAAGTATTCAGTTTTAAACAGCAGTAAAAATGCACAACTAGAACTGTAACGACGGCTACTTGTCTACTAAACGATAACTTTTTATTTTTTTATCTTCTTGACTCAGCTATAACTTTCATCTCAATATTTAACGATAAAAGAAAATCACCATAAATTGCCGAACAACTGACACCTAGTTTCTACCCCTGTTTTTTCAGCCCAGCCTCTCCCTGATCTGCCCCCTCTCCGTCAGAGTAAAGAGTACCAGCCTGTCGTTGTTCATCAGCGCTTGTCTCTGTGGGACAGTCTGATTTTCACTGACGAGGTAAACTGCAAACGCACGACGAGGATTTGCCAAGACTTTAGTCAAAACATTACATGAATCCACCGTCCTGTCAATAAACATGTCGTATCTCCACTCCCGTCATCTCAGCCTTCCAGCTCAACCACGCCAGTCAACATGGAGAACCTCCCCGTCAACAACAACAACGGTCAATCGTACGGCTACACTCTCTACGAGACTACCATCACCAGCGGGGGCGCTCTGAACTCAAACAACAACGTCAAAGACCGGGCGTTGGTGAGGATGACAATTCAAACACACAGACAGTTCCGGCTCTCTTTACTCTGGTCTCTGCGTGAGAGTGTGTGCACTCACAGCACTGTAATCTGAACACCGCCTGCTTCACCGCTGATACCCAGCGTTTCCCTCTTCATCTTTGACAGGTCTTTGTGGACAAACACTTTGTCGGAGTTCTCGATGATGACTCACAGGAAGTGACGGTACCTGACGGGGAGGTAAGTGATGGAGTCACACGTCCGTCCTCTGCTAACGTTCATCACTGATCGTTAAAACGAGTGTCTGTTGTCTGTTGTTGTGCTAACGAAGGAAGGAAGAACTCTCAGTTTACTGGTGGAGAACTTCGGAAGAGTGAATTATGGGAAAACCCTGGATAAACAGCGCAAAGGTACAAATGGTTCTCTGTCTTTATGAAGTCTTTACAGCAGTGTTTCCCAAACTTTTTTTTTTTTTGGGGACCCATATTTTAAAAGTCACAAACCTTCATGACACAAGTCAATAGACATTATTCGTAAACTGCTGGGAAAGATGATGTGAGACAACTCATTATTCGTAAACTGCTGGGAAAGATGACAACCCAAAAAAAAGCGACCCACCTAAGGGTCACGACCCAGTCTTTGGGAAACAAAGCTGTTTGAATGAACCGTCCATACATACAACACTTAATTCTTACTCCCAAAAAGACTTCCATTAATAACACTAATAAAATGCGACCAAAATAAAAAGTTATACTGCAGTTTACACGCGAAAACGATAATCGAGCGGCAGAAAAGAAACCAACGGAACAACTGGAGCCAAAGCAGATGCTGAATAATATAATCAGGCATTTGTTGAACTTGTTAGCGTTGATATATTTAACCGTTGTACTTTAGGCTGTAACTGTAGTATTTCCAAATTAAACAGTTGTTCTTAAAAAAAACTGTAATTAAAATAAATGCGATTTATAGAGTGGTGCGACTAATCTAATTTTTATTTCCCCACTGCAGCACATTTTGACAAAGCCAACTAATAGTTCATAGAACACAGCGTACATTAGTGGCCGTGACAGCAGCTTCACTCAGGTCTGCATCGTAAGCATCGGTTTATGACAGGGCTGAAAGCTGATCTGACCTTTGTCTCAGGTCTGGTTGGAGACATCGAGCTGAACAAGAAGAACCTCAGTGACTTCACCATCTACTGTCTGGACATGAAGCCAGGCTTTATTGACAGGTGACTCTTTGTAATTATTGTTATTTCATCAAATAATAATTTTGATAATTGAAAAATCAGATTGCAGAATCTGATTAAAAAAAATTCAAAATGAAATTATTTTATAATAATTTTATTTTGAGAATTTTTTTTAAAAAATATTTTTTTTTTTTAAATTTCTTTTTGAGAATTTTTTTTTAATCTTCTGCAAGCTGATTTTTCTTTCCTTTGTTTTCCTTTCTTCACCACCAGCCTCTGACCTTTTGTTATGTTGTAAAAAGAAAAGAAAAAAAGTCTATTTCCATTTATTGCCAGGATTGTCCTTATGTAGTGTAAATTTGCACGTTCCTTACCTCAAGGCCATCCTGGAAATGTCACAGCCTGAAGTTCTGTGTATGAGATGAGAAGCACAGAAGAGGTTCAGGTCTTATATCATGGCAACCTTTGGATGAGGGCAACTGTAACTGACATAAAAAAAAAAAGACAGAGTGAGTCTGAACACCAGCCGTGTTCTGACTGTCACTTATGACACGTTGACATTTACTGCAGGTAAAACCTGCAGAAAAGATCTGATTTACAACCAAATGGAAACAAGTTTCGTTAAAGAAAATGACAAGGAGAATTTTTAAATACCAGATTCTGAATTTTGATTTTTTTTTTCAGTCTGGGAGGTTCAGACCACTGGGTGCAGCCGGCTGACAAACCACCCTCTGGTCCAGGGTTTTTCCAGGCCACACTCCACGTGGACGGCCCCCCCGAGGACACCTTCATCAAACTCCCAGTAGGCTATGCTAGCTAGCGATGCATTCAATTCCACTATTCCCTGCAGTGTGTGTTATTAGTATACATACTATATCAAAACGTGCTGCTCTGTGTGTACGATACATTGGCCAGGTTCCTAGGACGGTAAAAAAAAAAGTGAACTCAAGGATAAAAGCCAGGCTTTAAGCTCTGTGGATTCAACAGGAAGTCGTTTGTCTTTTACCGTTTCATTTAACGTCTACAGTGGTGAAACAGGTGGAGGAAAAATAATGCTTTAGTTTATTTATAATATCTAATCACCAAACGATATAATGTAGTCCTAGTTTTACTGCTTTGTTTCTCCACTGTTGAAAACGCAGCAGAAATGAATCAGAGATTTGTTTGATTTGTTTTTATTGAGGCCTGGTTTTAAACAGTGGAAAAATTGAATAACCAATAATAACTACTGAATAATGAACAATAATTAGTGAGTCTAGTATAAGAGAATTATTAGAGGTTATTGCTCTGCACTAAGACTTTGGCCACAAGGTGGTATATAAATATATAGAGTAAGTATCTGTGGAACAGAACCAGGCTCTTTAACGTCAAACCCTAAAACACAACGCAATGAACAAAACAACTACAGGATCTCAAAACATTTGTATCGGCCGTTTTGTTCCATGTCAGTAAGTCATTAGTTAAACAGCTGGGCTGGATATCACCAGGTACCTCGGGATACGATACTATCGCGATATTTTGATCGGTCTATCGATAACGTACAGCAGACTGTTGTTGCTGGTCCTCATCATTCATGTGATTTTTTTTCACAGGGCTGGAACAAAGGTGTCGTCTTCATCAATGGTAAGAACCTTGGACGTTACTGGTCCAGAGGTCCACAGCAAACTCTCTATCTACCAGGACCATGGCTACACACGGGAGAAAACCAGGTACTTTTCTATAGTCATACTGTGCAGTATTGTTTTTATATATTTCAGCATATAAATTGTTCAAATATATAATTGGAGCGCGTTGGAGAGAGAAAAGAAGAAGAACTTTAAGCAGTCATGAAATCACTGCTGTCTTTTCTCCTTCACAGGTCACGGTGTTTGAAGAGCAGAACACAGATGGTAGGATTCAGTTCACCACCGTCCCTGACCTCGGCAAGACAGTCGAGGTCCAGTAAACACAGGAGGAGGTCAGACAGGTGTGGGACCGCAGGGACAGGAGGACTGAGGCGGAACAGACAAATGGACCCTGAGTGGAGTCTGCCGGACCACTGACACAGACCGGTGCCCCAGAGTAACATGTCAGTGGATGTGGGAGGGGTTTAAAACCACAGCCGCTGACACAGCAACAGCAGATGATCCATTAAAACGATTTTTTTTTTCTATTTTCTTCGAGTGGTTAATATTTTTATACACTACATTCTCATTCTGAAACTGTCTGAGTCATCCTGTAAATTTTTTTTTTTTTTTTGAGGTTTTGTTGAACTGTGGGTTTCGTTGTGGGTTTTAAAACCTAATATTTGTTTTTACAGGGATCCAGGTTCAAGTGTGTTCATTTGGTTTGAGGAAATAATTTGAAGTGGTTGTAACTTTAAAAATTTTTGTTTTCGTAACTTGTCTTGGTTTTTACTAATGTGAAGGGCTTCCACTGGACATTTCCAAGAATTTGATTTTCTTTTTTCTCAACATGATTTAAACAGATTCACGTGTTTTGTAATGTCCACCCGAACCATAACATAACATCCTGGTAAATGAAGAATAAATTAAATGAATGAACATGCACGTGGTATTGACACACAGATACCAGAGGAATAAAGGTCATGTTGAAATATAACACGTCTCAATTATGTGTTTTTGTGATTTTAGAATTTTATCTAACTTGTGTGTATATTTCTATATATGTGACTATTTAAAAAAAAGATTTTGATCTAAATGCCTGAAGAAAAATCCTCCTGGCACTCGCAAAAAACTGAGATAAAAATGATAAAAAAAAAAAACAAGTTTAAATAAATAATCACAGCCTCATACCAACTCATTATCAAAGCTTTTTCAAAGATGTCTACACAAAGACTGCCTCGACCCGGTGTGTGTAGTCACGTCCAGGGAGGCACATGAACTAGTTTTATTTACCCCAGCATGCTGAGAGCGTGTTCTGCTCCTCTCCATATTTACCGACTCGTGATGTGCTGAGGGAGCTCCTGCAGAGAGCGGAGCTGTGTTTGGAGATCTTTTCTCTTTGTGGAGCGTCATCTGTCTACTCTAAGCAGAGTCTGTACGTTCACACTGGCTCTCTCTCTTTGACGACTGATGCAGCAGTGAAGCTGACTTGTCGTTTCTGCGTCACTTCAGCGTGGAGGTTTTTCCACTGGGAGAGTAAGATGCAGCCGCTGTCTAATGTGGTTAACAGTTCGTTCTATACAAGTCTATGGAAAGCTACAAGGGTAAGCCGGGAAAAAAAAAATTGAATGCAGATGTTAAGATTTTAAAGGGTGTCTGGTTTTATTTAAACCTGTTATGAGACGTCTCTGAGGTGTCTGCAACTGATAGACTCATATCTCCGCCGGGAGTTGAGCCGTGTTACATTTTATTTTTCTAACCCTCAAAAATAGAGTTAGGCAACAGTGATTATTATGGACGATTGTTTCAATGCATTGGGATTTTTTTTTTTTTTTTTGACTTATCTGTGCAGACCAATATTGAATGAGTTACAACGGTTAGCTTTTTACAGTTCGGGTGGCTTTTAATTTGTAGGAAGGAATGTATTTAATTATTTATTCAATTTATTATTGTAGGTCTTTATGCTAAAACAAAAGAACATTTTAGGTTAATAGAGCCGCTGTACGTTAATTTAATGAATTGGTTTTACTGGTCAGGCCCCTGGAGATCAAACTGGACCTCGACCTAAAAAATGGGTTTGAAACAGTTTCCTACACTGTCTTAAAAACCTTATGGTTCATTCACACACTAATCCAGAGACACAACATCAAATCTCTTCTTCACTAAATCGCTTCTCTCACCACAGTATTTATACAAATTAAAAAACAAATCATAAATCAAAGTTCATGGACCTGAACACGTGTTGTACGGCCTAAGAAGAAATGACTGAATAAACCAACACTGACGCAAACGACAGTCAACAAGGAAACTTCTAGTATGAACTCATGTCCCAGTCCACAATGAGGATATTTCTAAATAAAGGAAATACTAAAAACCACTCACCTGTCACGTGTAAATGTTAGTCCATGTCTGTTTTCGTTGACCAAACAGTCGTCCTTCTTGCATCAGTTGATTGAAAGGCTCCTTGTCAATGGACTGAAACACAAAAAGACTTTTTTTTGGTCAGGTGTTTCGTGTAGTGACAGACGAAAACATACACTCCATAAACACTGGGATGTTTGGGTAGGAAGTTCCGGTATAGTCTTCAAAGTCCGTCCACAGCAGAAATGTAGACCCCATGAACGTCTGACGTGTGTTTTATCTGACTTTTAGCCTAGCTTATCGTATGTTGAAGTGTTACTTACGGTGTTTGCACGTTGTTCAGAAATCCGTCATAGAACAAACGTCGTTCTTCCGTCTTCTTCTATCGTCTAATACTCTTTCCGCAGGTGTGTTGACCTTTAACATCCGGTTTTGCGCGTTCTTCTCAAAAGTGTCCGTTCCACACCAAAAACCGTGTTGTCTTGTTAACTAAATCCCACAATAAAAAAAAAAAAAAATCCAAATATGCCAAGGGAAAACGTGGATCTTTTTTAAAGGACGCCGTTCATTCCCGATCTTCGCCGTCCGTATCATTTTGCAAAACAGCACCCAAGCTAGCGGGGACGCCGCTAGCTGTTAGCCCCGCACAGCGCCGGTAGTTCCAGTTTCTTCAAACTTTCTTTTCTGTCTCCAAAACAATTAAAATTATTTTTCTAGTAGACTGTGATTCAGCCGAGACAGTGAAGCACAACAGTAAAGCCACAACACTTGTTAAAATCCCTGTGAGGCGCTTATTAGTGTTGCCAGATCTTGACGGAAAAAACAAGCAAAGGTTCAGGGAAAAAAAAAAAACAAACTCAATAGAAGCGACGCACTCACCTGCAGCCTCGCATTAACAGATAGAAAGGCCGATTAATCGATTCGTGTCATTGCACTATAGATCTGTAAAAGCCAGGTTTGCATGAAACACTAGTACAAGATTGATTTTTACAAACCTCACCACACGTTCAATACTGACAAATCATCAAACACACCTGAGAGCCAGACCCCGGGTTTATTTTCTCCGTTTATTTATTATTTATTTCTCTTGATTCAACTAACATCTTTATCTGAGACAAAACTGCTGTGGCAAATAAACAAACCTTAACAGTCACATGCATAAAGTGTGAATCACACCAACCTGGAGAATGACAGCGAGGGTGAGATAAGAGAGGACCGGTGAATTGTGCCGGAGAGAGAGAGAGAGAGAGAGAGAGACGTCCTCCAAAGGGAAATGCTCATGAACAATAAATGCTGGATGTGATGCAGTGCAGATCGGTAGGATGGTTCTGGGAATAACCAGATGATGATAATAATAATTCTTTATGAGCATCAGATATTGCTTGATATAGTCATCAGAGTCAGACCTCAGTCAACAGAGGGTGTTTTTGTTTTTTTTTTAGCTCTCGTCTCTGCTGCCTCCGGGATATGCCCCAAAAAGTAACATTACAGAATCAGACAAAAATATATATATATATGATCGCGTTCTGATCTGTAAACAACACCATGTCTGTCTGTCTGCATCAGCAAAGCAACATCGGGAATAACAAGAGACTGGAATATGACAATATGTCACTAATCAGGGAAAATGGTGAGCACTACATTAGCTAAACAAGGTGGACAATTTAAAACAAACAAACAAACAAACAAACAAAAAAAAAAAAACCAGAACGTTTACATTAAGATGTTCACAAATGGGGAAAGTGCAGCCCCTGGTGGACTGTTTTTATACTTCAGGTGGAAATCATTGACTCAGACTTGAAGCAGAAAATGTCCCCTAAAGCAGAACTTGGTTTAACAGCAGTGCTATAGTCGTGCGTGCGTGTGCGCGTGCATGTGTGGAGCTGCTTGTCGTTGGAAACTAACCTATAGTTGATCTGCGTGAACTTTGTTTTTTTGTTTTTTTTTTTAGAAGTGCCTGTGCACATGCAGTGTCATCCTGATTTGAGGGGTTTAATTGCACATCTACCCTTGAAATAAATACATAAATATATTAAGTTGGATTTGAATAAATAACGAGGGCATGTTGGGGGGGGGGTGATGAGGGGGAGTCGTGGTCTGATCTCCATGGAGCACCGCTGTTCAGTGTGATATCACATCGTCGGTGAAACAGCCGGCTCCATGACAGATAAGATCCAGCCGTGGCCTGAGCTTGTCTTTTATCATATGTGGAAATTTAGTGACTATCTCCAGCTGATGAGGCCGAGAGGCGTTCAATGACTGTGTACGATTTCTGACTGTGATGGGGGAGGGAGGGAGGGAGGCTACACTGAGATAATGAATTAACTCCAGCCACTTTTGCAATGTAAGATAAGAGCCAGTGTGTGTGTGTGTGTGTGTGTGTGTGAATGAATAAAACCAGAATCAAGTCCATGACAGTGAAGGTGAAGATGCTACAAAAAAACGTCAGGGAAAAAAACAAAAACCAAAAAAAAAAAAACAACATTTTTTCTTTTTTAATTGTGCTTTTCTTTAAGCTGCTGTCACAGAGCAGCAGTTGTTGGGTTTTTCTTTTTCTTTTTTTTTTCTTTTTTTCAGTTGACAGTTTTCAGAGAAAAGAAGAGCCATGCATAAATAACATAAATCTGTCATTGATAACTCACAGCAGATGTTGACAGAGGAAGTGAACAGAAGACAGCAGATGCAGCTTGAGCGTAAAAACTGACAGAATGAAGTGTATTCTTCAAAAAAAAAAAAAAAAACGCGATGACGAATGGGTGGAGCCACGTGGTCTGGGAGTATAAACGGTACAACGTGTATTCTTCAAGCAAATAAAAACTGACTGTGTATGTGTGTGTGGGTGTGTGTGTGTGACAGCACTTTCTAACAGGAGCCAGATTGTAAATCTTCAAGTGTTCAAATAAAGCTTTTTGTTTTTCAAACCAGCGGCAAATGTAATAGTTTATAGGTTTATAGAAATCTGAAAAATAAAAAACTCTCTAATTCATAAACAGTTACGCTTACAGGTAAAAGGACAAAAAAAACTAGGGATGTCCAATATTTTTGCCGATATCTGATACGCCGATATTGTCCAAATATTTTATCTGTAAAAACCACTGTATTGAGTTGCTGGGACCAGGATTCTGCATACAAACCCCTGATTATTAAAAGAATTAATAAAATGAGCTAGAATGCTGCCATCTAGTGACGTTCACTTTCATATACAGCCATTTATCCCCAAAACTATTTTTAGGTCACACATCAGAGGATGGAAAATCACACATCATATGGTGAAACCCAGGCATTGCGCAATCGGGTTTTCAATATTGGAGAAAAAACCAATAAGGAGTCTTAGATATTACATAATGATGCTAATATCGGGCCAATAATATCGGACATCCCTACATAAATCGACCCAAACCCTGATGTCAAAAAAACAGTTTCTGCTCAAAAAACCAAATAACAAAAATACTTTTTAGTGCAATAGAAAAAAAAAATCATTTGGAGAAGGAATGTAACCTTGCAATAAATTTGCGTTTTTGCCAACTTTGTGTCCCATGTATAAAAATTAATTTGCATTGTTAAAAAAGAAATTTGTGTCCCATGTATAAAAATTAATTTTCATTGTCCAGAGATAAAAGAATAAATACCTCAAAACAAAGCAGTATTTCATGTCCTTTTACCTGACAAACGAAGACTTCACCAAGAAAACTGAACCTGTTGTTGACTGTGTGCATAGATGGAGTGAACTATCGGGACAAACAGTTAAAAAATGTGTCACACTGAATAATGAAATAAAGAACAGCTCAGTGTTTCACTGGTGCTGTCAATTTTCTCATGTGTTGAAACGTCATAGATTTGAAGATTTCTCTTGTTTTCTATATTTTTAAAACACTGGCTTCCATAAAGCTACAGGTCAAAACTGTGTATATTTTTGTGGATCCTCAGAATCACCTGCTTCAATCTCTGACTCCCCCTCCTCCCCCTTCACACCCCCACTTTAAACCCCTCTCTCCGTCTGCATTATTTGAATCCTGTGCTCTTCTGTTTTTAATCAGCAGCTCATTCTGGGTTTGTTTTTTTTTTTCTGCAGGCGACTTGTCCTCACTTCAGCCTTGGCAGCCTTCGTTGACCTCGTCTCGTCCTGAAAACTGCAATTTGGCATCGACTCCTGCCTGTTGTTCCCTAATCTTCCTCCACATAAACTCTTCCTCATCATCTGTGATCTGTGATCTGTAAAAAAGTTCAAGAAATCTTCTTTTTGCTGAACCTCTATCCAAAGTAAATCTCCAGTTATATTCTCATCATTGTCTTTACATTAAATTTACATTTCAGTTGACGTTATTTTAGAGGAATTGTCCCCCCCCCCACCCCATACAGTAATATGTATTTATATTATTATCCTATCTCGGCCTCACGTGTCGTTGCACATCATTTCTGTGATCTGGATTTCGATGTCCCACGTGTCCATGGTTGTTCTGATGAGTGGACTCGTCATGACGCTACAGATGAACGATGACCAACCAAGAGTGAATGCACGAAATGGTACGAGTCAGTAGTATTAAACTAGCAGGTAAGTCAAGTGCTGGCAAAACACCATGTCTAATTAAATTAAATTAAATTAAAGCAAACGTTTCGTAGTAATTTAAAGAACATTCGTTCCCTTCCTGTTTGTGTTTGCTCCAAACAACAACAAAAAATAAATCCACATTGAATGCATTAATCCACCAAGTCGTGCTGATTTTTGTCGTTGATCCAGACTGATGGTAAAGACCACGAGGAATTCCATCTCTGAACCGTGTGCACTTTTTCATCGAGGTGAAGAAAATGTTCTTGTTTTGTTCGGTCGTCTCGTCTCCGCTGGTTGTACGCCGTCTGTGTTGTGCTGTCTCTTTTGTAGACCTGTCTTCAGGCTGAGATGCACGTCCTTTATGTCCCCCCCAACCCCAAAGAGCCGCCTCTGACTGATCTGTGCTTTGTTATAATACATTTGTACTCATTTTAGTCTGTGTTTTTTTCTGTGTCTGTGTGTGAAAACGTCAGCTTCAGTGAAGAGGATTAAATCCTCGTCCAACGGCCGTCACTTCCTTTTTTATTCCTGACGATTAAGACTTGAGCACTGGCTGCACTGATCCACGGACTCGGCAGCTCCACGGCCAACAACCTGCGGAGAGAAAGGATGGAGAGAAACTTTGAAGGTCCACAGATTCATTTATGTTCATCCTCTAAAATACCAGGGGTATTCACACCTCTAACCATGTGACTTTACATTCTGACGCCTTTAGAATAAGCTGTGGTCCATCACACCTCCATCCCCCAACTGAAGAAGCCTCTTGGATGAAGAGGTGAAACGTCTTCAAGAAATCTACTCCGTCCAGTTGCCCTCAATGTAACTGTTTTTGGAATATATGTAATAAAATCTAATAATATCCTTATTTAAATATACTCACAATTCACTAATAATATCCTTATTTAAATATACTCCCAATTCACTCAAATCTGTTTAGTTGAAGACAAGGAGGAATTAAAGAAAGACACTCACAAAGATCTTCTTCAACAACTCTGATTCTCTTTTTTTATGTTGTCATGGCCATTTGCTGCCACCTAGTGGAAGGGTATTTAATTGTTCTGCATGCCAGGCACTGACAAATGATGAAAAATGAATTGCAAGATATAAATAATTTCCAGACCAATTAAGTGAAATTGGATAATATTCCACGGCCCACCTAATGATCTGTCACGGCACATTGGAGGGCCACGGCACAGTGGTTGAGAATCACTCGTTAAAAGATAACTGTGACTTCAGAACTAACAGCAGCTCCAGGTTAGAAATGATTAGAAGGATTAGTTCAGATATAGCTTGACCGACCATCAGGAACTGCAGTGCAAATGTTATAAATAAAACATGATTTGTTACCTTGGATACAGGGAGAGAAAAAAAGCCGTTAGATCTCCACATTCGGGTCTGTGAATCCTTTTTTCCCCTCGTTGACCAGGACAGGTTTCTCTGTTCTCGTGTGCCAAACCAGGATCTGGTGAAAAGAAAAGATGAACATCAGAAACAGACGTTTCCTGTGATGAAGTGTCATTCACCCGCTGGACCCTGCAGTTACGGCCACAGAGCGGAGTCTTTGGAGAAAAATAAATCTTCATGGACATGAATGAAACTCGTAAAAATCTACCGGAATGTTCTCTGCGTTGGCATTACAGTTTTATAACCTCAGTTATATGGGTTGGTTGCTGTAAAACTCTGCGTTGGCATTACAGTTTTATAACCTCGGTTATATGGGTGGCTGGATGTTGGTTGCTGTAAAACTTGACCACTAGGGATGTAACGATGCGATAACGGTGACAATTTGCATCAGTTGAAATAAACAAAACAAATTCATCGCACATCAAGACTAAGGAGTAGGCTGCGTTATCGCAAAAAGTCACTGGTCATACCATGACACTACACACTCGAGTACAGTAGGTGGCAGTATGTGCTTGAAAACGTTGGCTGTGAACCCCTATGTGTAGCCTAAGTGACATTCAGGTGCTCAAACAGAACGTGGGAAGAACTAGTTCCACAGACACCAACAGTGTTTTCCAGTGTTCCTGTAAAGAACGGAACTTATTCTGGTTCATATTTTTGATATTATTTTTTTTTGTCTATTTTACTGACAGTTAACCAGGTCAATCAGACCAAACCGGTTTCACTTTTAAACAGAGGAGATCAATGGTGACGTGATGTCGGTCAGTTTTCAATCTTCTTCCTCTCCACCCGGCCGCTGAACTGACCTGAGAGCAGTCAAATCAATTTTCTCTCGTACAAGAGTTTAGAAAATCCTACCTTAGTGCAATTGGCTGCTTTGGGCTCCAGGTCGCCGAGTGTGACCAGTTCCCTCAGCAGACTACTTTCCTGATAGCCTCCCTTCACGCCTCGGAGCTTAAAATATGCCTGTGGCTTGAAGAGGATGAGTCGCAGGTTGATGGCGAAGCCGGCCATGTCGATGGCGAAAGGTCGATGGGGGTCGAACACCGTCTTCCAGCCGTAGACCTTTCCAGCTGCGTTGACCTTGGGGGACTCGTACCGCAGGCCGCCCACGAAGGCCACGGGCCACACTGAAACTTTCCTGGTTGATCTCATCTGGTGAGCGCAGAGGGGAGAAGAGAAATGAGGGAGGCGAGGGGGAAGATAAGTCAAGTGGAAGAAAAAAAAAAAGTCTACATGACAGTGAGACACTGTCAGGCATCAGCTGCCACCGCCTGGACACAGGCTTCTTAGAGCTGCTGCTATTATTCATTTTGAAAGATGGCGAATATTGACTGAGCCACCGGGCCATGGAGCTGAATCACTGCCTTCACCTCGGCTACACACACACACACACACACAAACGTAGACCATTAAACAGCTGCTCCACCATCAGATAATTGTCCTCGACTGTCTTTAAAGGGCACAAACACGGACATTTCCGAGAAAGGAGCAGAGAAAGGAGCTTCCTGATTGGCTGAGATGTTTCTCCAAGGAGCGCTCTTCTCTGCTGCTGTTTCTTTTTTCTCTGCTTGGTTCTTTTATCTCCCAGCATCAAACAGCCCTGCTGCACTTCCCTTTGTCTGCTCCTCACTGAGGGCCATTTGGAAGATCCTCTCCTCTTATGAAAGGTAAGTCTGATAATGAGACGGAAAGGGGGAGATTTACAACCGTCGGTCATTTAACTGAATTCAGTGGAAAACAAATAATGATGATAATGATTTTTTTTTTTTTTCAGGTGGACGGTCGCTTTCAGAATAACGCTCTGTGCTGAGACTGGTACTGTCCAGAGCAGGGGATCAAACACGTCTTGGTTTAGGGGCCACATGCGACCCAATTATATGTGAAGTGGGTCAGAACAGTCGTAACATAATTACCATAAATAACAATCAGTACTTGTTTTCCCTCCTTATTTTCCTGCAAATACGTAAAGGTGTATTAGAAAATATTCATATTTATTGAAATATA